ACAGGCACAATGATGGAGGACTTGAGGCACACAGGGACTGAAGCAAGATGCAGGGACAGGTTAAAAATGTCCAAGAAAACTCCTGTCAGTTGGTCAGCACATAGCTTCAAAACCCGGTCTGACACCCTGTCTGGTCCTGCAGCATTGTTGGTGTTGATCCTCCTCAGGGTGGAGCTCACCTGGTGTAGCTGCAGGCCGAGAGCCTGGTGCTGTTCCTTGAGCTGAGGGAGTTGTACAAGTCCTCTGCTGCCAGGTGTATCGAAGCGTACAAAGAAACTATTCAGAGTGTCAGGGAGGGTGGGATCATGGCTGACCTGCTGGTTGTTGCCTTTGTAGTTATTGTTATTGTTTTGATGCCTCTCCACATACTCTGTGTGTTGTTATTCATAAAGTACCCCTCAATTCGCTGTTTGTACCTGCGTTTGGCCAGCCAGATGCTCTTCTTTAGTTCTTTCCAGGCCCTGCTATAGGCCAGTCTGTCACCCGGTCTGCCCAAGCTTTGAGCAGATGTGACACTGTACTGTCCAACCATGGTTTCTGATTTGGAAAAACCCTGATGGACTTTGTAGGTAGGACAGCATCAGTACAGAACTGCACATAGTCCACAACAGCTGATGTATAAGCCTCCAAGTCTGAGCCCTCTTTGAAGACCCCCCAATCAGTGTGCTCAAAACAGTCCTGTAATGCTGAAGAAGCCTCCTCCGTCCACACCTTAACTGTTTTGGTGATTTGTTTTGTCCTGCAGATCAGAGGTTTATATGCTGGGATCAGCTCCACAGAGATGTGATCTGACATGCCTAGGTGTGGAGCTGCTATGGCCTTGTTTGCTCCCCAGATATTAAGTATATTGAGAGACTTACTTCAATATAGTCAACTGCTGCAACACTGAAGTGTTCTCTTTTATTGGTATTGTTTTTCTCTGTCAGTACACAGACTCCAACACAGTTTTTGTTACATTTTGAAGTCAACAGTCTTCCATCTTCCTGGATTATAATTTGACTGGATGCTGTTCTCATACTTTCTTAGTGTTGGACTGTTGGACTGCAGGTAAATCATCACAGGTGTACAGAAAGTTTCTATCAGCAGGTTTCTTCATGTCGACATGGTTACTCAGTTGTAGTGAATTCAAGGTGAGGGTAAACATCTAAACCTGTCTTTAATTGGAATATGGCTTATAGCTACAGTGGGGCAAATAAGTATTTGATACACCGCCGATTTTTCAAGTTTTCCCACTTACAGAGAACGGACAGTTCTGTAATTTTCATCTAGGTACACCTCAACTGTGAGAGATAGAATCTACAAAACAATTCCAGTAAATCACATTGTTAGATTTTTAAATAATTAATTTCCATTTTATTGCATGAAATAAGTATTTGATACAATAGAAGAATAGAACTTAATATTTGGTACCGAAACCTTTGTTTACAGTTACAGAGGTCAGACGTTTCCTGTAGTTCTTGACCAGGTTTGCACACACTGCAGCAGGGATTTTGGCCCACTCCTCCATACAGGTCTTCTCCAGATCTTTCAGGTTTTGGGGCTGTCGCTGGGTAACACGAAGTTTCAGCTCCCTCCATAGATTTTCTATTGGGTTCAGGTCTGGAGACTGGCTAGGCCACTCCAGGACCTTGAAATGCTTCTTACAGAGCCACTCCTTAGTTGCCCTGGCTGTGTGTTTGGGGTCATTGTCATGCTGGAAGACCCAGCCAGGACCCATCTTCAATGCTCTTACTGAGGGAAGGAGGTTGTTGCATCTCACAATACATGGCCCCATTCATCCTCTCCTCAATACGGTGCAGTC